TTATGCATTATATTTGCATAATGTATGCTGTAAAGAATGAAATGATCCGATAATGGTCTTACGTGTGGTCTGGCACAGTTGTCACAGATGACCTCAGGATGCTCTTTACAGAAGCTTGTATTAAAAGTGTGCTCGCCAAAGTAAGCCAGCAACTGGATCCTCCTGCACTCAGCCACATTCTCACAGAAATGCACCATGCTGTGCAGGTTGTTGATGTGGGTGGCTTTGGATTGCTGGTTGCCATCTTTATCCACTGCAATTATATTAACCGTTATTGTAGACCACGCTCAGGCAGGTTAACTATGACTGTATAATGGTGTCTGGATTTTAGTATCCCAAATGCATGTTTTGAACATCTTTATTCTGTAGAGCACCTTAAAACATGTAATTTCACTGAATACCAAATGCAACATTTAAATGTCTTGCTCAGTTTTATTATTTTAATGTGATAAGTGATTGTTTACAGTTAATGCACCAATATATCCTAGCTTCATTACAAGAATAAACAAAAATCCTGCAGTACATACTCGCAATGAGTCTCTTGATGCGGATAACATCACTGTAGGCATAGAAGAGGACGCAGTGGGAAATCTCTCCATCTCGACCAGCTCTGCCTGACTCCTGGTAATAACCCTCCACTGACTTGGGCAAACTGGCATGGATCACATAACGCACATCAGGTTTATCGATTCCCATGCCAAATGCAATGGTGGCACACATAACCTAAAAATGAAAGATGAATGGTAAAAATTACGGTATTTCTGGGAAGCAGGGAAAATAAAAATACGTGGTCAAAAGAGCTGGTCCAGGTTTTATAGTAATTTTAAAAACAGTGTGTTTACCTGGCAGCCATCCTGGTTGATCCATTTATTCTGGACATATTCCCTGTCGCTGTTACTCAGGCCAGCGTGATAAGCCAGTGCTGCGATCCCAGCCCTCTGAAGACTGTCAGCCAGAGTGTCACAGTCATTACGAGACAAGCAGTACACAATCCCCGAGTCACCTACACACATGGTCAACATGATTTATAGGGTCTCCATGCTGTGGTGAGAAATTATAATTGCTAAAGACTGATTTAATCTGGACAGCACTCACGTGGGTAATATTTCTTGATCCACTGAATGCATTCCTCATCAACCTTCTTGGGCTTTTTTGGCAAAACCGAATATTTGAGATTGTGCCTGTTGAAGCTCATAGTGAATCTATGAAAACATAAATTTTAATATGAGTAACACATGTACATGATATCTATAGATTTCATGGTTAAGAATGAACAGAGTACCAATTTCAAATGCTTGTAGTCCGCAAGATTTTTAAACGGCATTTATTTGAAATAGAAATCTTAATGCATCCTCCTCTGCCAGGACAATCACATGAAACTTTTAATTAAAATGTAAAAATGTTACTTTGCCTTTCTGAAGGAAGATGAGGTTCAAATATTATGATGAATGTGAGCATGACTAATCAGAATACCATGCTTTTACAAATACAATTAAATCAAAAAGCCAGAAATATGTGAATCAGGAGTTGCATGCAGGAAGACTTACACCTGAGGACGGGTCATTGCCAGCTGGTTAAGAATGTCTTTCTGAACTCTAGGAGTGGCTGTGGCTGTCAGTGCCATTATAGGAACATTGGGAAACATCCGCCTGAGCTCATGCAAGCGCTTGTAGTCGGGCCTGAAGTCATGACCCCACTAAGGAAGAAACGGATGCATTTTACAATGTTTTTATGGATTGTGCTACAATAGTGCCAATATTTTTTGTAAAAGACTGTCTTCACGACTTAAATTGCATATTTCAGACCTGCCAACCTTTGAAATTTTTTTTGAGTACCATCAGTGTGACTGTGGGGGGGAATATATTCCTGTTATACAGTATTTTAGAGTAAACAGTAGGAACGCAACAATACAGTTAGCCCAAGGTTCAATAAATACTTCATTTTTTTAAAACAGTTTTCAGTTTGGTTCTGATGGTTTGGCACAACAGAGTTCTTTTTAGCGATTTTAAATGCTATTTTAAAAAAACAAACTCCACTACATTGTTGTACACTGTAGAAAAACATGGATTATCAAGTCTACCTTAAATTTATTTTGAGAGAAGTATTATTTTTATAGATTGGCCATTATTTAGTGCTATGAACATGTAATGTCTGTTTCATTCATACTGGATACTAGAGAGCACCCTTGCGCAGAAAGTCCACATATGCATCACCGAAGAAACAGAGCTCACGACTCCAGGAAATACCATACACGTGTTTCCTCATCTCAGCACACGACTCACGGACACACAAACAGAGCCAGTTTGGAGAGAAATAAAAAAAACACGGAAACCGCTCTGCTTGGTTGAACTCCTCGTCTTTTTCTGTTGCTTGTTTACTGCGCGTGGACAGGTCACCGGGTTTTTGCGTAGTTTAGAGTGACAAATCGTACCAGTGTACTTTAAGGTCAAAATGAGTACAGGTTGGCAGCTCTGCATATTTTGACTGTTCTTGCTACACTGTACAGTTTTCTATCAAGCTTACCTGACTGACGCAATGGGCCTCATCAATGACAAGGCGAGCCAGCATACCCCTTTCATACAGATTCTGAAGGGCACTGACCATCCGTCCACTTGCACACACCTGAGAACAAAAACAACACATATCAATACTGTTATAGATATGCACACAAACTTGCAACACACTGGTCTGACGTGAAACCCACCTTCTCAGGAGTGGCATAAAGCAGTTTGATGGGGGGATCCTTCCTAGACAGCTGCATATAGATCTTTGCAGCCTCACTATCTGTTTTGTCCCCTGATAAACTAGTTGCACAGATCTGAAACACAAAATTGCACAGGAATCAACAATTTCGATCAAGTTAAGACAATCATTGTGCATAAGGAAAAGAAGGACTCACATCTAATGTGGTGAGCTTTTGGACCTGGTCAACTATGAGAGACCGTAGAGGAGAAATGACAACAGTCACTCCAGCAAGGACACAAGCAGGAAGCTGATAGCAGAGACTTTTACCACCACCTGTAAAGAAGTTGTCACATTGTAACATATCACTAGGAAACACTTAAAAAAAATAGCTGGTATCTTAACACAAAGAAAGAAAACACTAAAACAAAAGGAAGAGAGACAGTACACTGCTTTAATGCTTAAAAAATTGAGACTGCCTGACAAAAAACAAAATGGTCAAAACGTCCTATTTATTATTAACCCTATAAAGTCTACTAATGTCCACCATTATGTCATGCTACATGTGTCTTTTTGCTGTGAAATATTTAATTAATTTCATAAAGTAAATGTAAGAATAACTTATTTCAAGATGAACAAAATACAATAAATCTCTCAATCATCATTATTTTACATTATATACTTATGGAATTGGAATAGTTAATGGTAGAGTCTGATATACAGTGGGTACGGAAAGTATTCAGACCCCCTTAAAATTTTCACTCTTAACAATATTGCAGCCATTTGCTAAAATCATTCAAGTTAAGTTTTTTTCCTTAGTGCCAATATTTTTTGTAAAAGACTGTCTTCACGACTTAAATTGCATATTTCAGACCTGCCAACCTTTGAAATTTTTTTTGAGTACCATCAGTGTGACTGTGGGGGGGAATATATTCCTGTTATACAGTATTTTAGAGTAAACAGTAGGAACGCAACAATACAGTTAGCCCAAGGTTCAATAAATACTTCATTTTTTTAAAACAGTTTTCAGTTTGGTTCTGATGGTTTGGCACAACGGAGTTCTTTTTAGCGATTTTAAATGCTATTTTAAAAAAACAAACTCCACTACATTGTTGTACACTGTAGAAAAACATGGATTATCAAGTCTACCTTAAATTTATTTTGAGAGAAGTATTATTTTTATAGATTGGCCATTATTTAGTGCTATGAACATGTAATGTCTGTTTCATTCATACTGGATACTAGAGGGCACCCTTGCGCAGAAAGTCCACATATGCATCACCGAAGAAACAGAGCTCACGACTCCAGGAAATACCATACACGTGTTTCCTCATCTCAGCACACGACTCACAGACACACAAACAGAGCCAGTTTGGAGAGAAATAAAAAAAACACGGAAAACGCTCTGATTGGTTGAACTCCTCATCTTTTTCTGTTGCTCATTTACTGCGCGTGGACAGGTCACCAGGTTTTTGCGTAGTTTAGAGTGACAAATCGTACCAGTGTACTTTAAGGTCAAAATGAGTACAGGTTGGCAGGTCTGCATATTTTGACTGTTCTTGCTACACTGTACAGTTTTCTATCAAGCTTACCTGACTGACGCAATGGGCCTCATCAATGACAAGGCGAGCCAGCAGACCCCTTTCATACAGATTCTGAAGGGCACTGACCATCCGTCCACTTGCACACACCTGAGAACAAAAACAACACATATCAATACTGTTATAGATATGCACGCAAACTTGCAACACACTGGTCTGACGTGAAACCCACCTTCTCAGGAGTGGCATAAAGCAGTTTGATGGGGGGATCCTTCCTAGACAGCTGCATATAGATCTTTGCAGCCTCACTATCTGTTTTGTCCCCTGATAAACTAGTTGCACAGATCTGAAACACAAAATTGCACAGGAATCAACAATTTCGATCAAGTTAAGACAATCATTGTGCATAAGGAAAAGAAGGACTCACATCTAATGTGGTGAGCTTTTGGACCTGGTCAACTATGAGAGACCGTAGAGGAGAAATGACAACAGTCACTCCAGCAAGGACACAAGCAGGAAGCTGATAGCAGAGACTTTTACCACCACCTGTAAAGAAGTTGTCACATTGTAACATATCACTAGGAAACACTTAAAAAAAATAGCTGGTATCTTAACACAAAGAAAGAAAACACTAAAACAAAAGGAAGAGAGACAGTACACTGCTTTAATGCTTAAAAAATTGAGACTGCCTGACAAAAAACAAAATGGTCAAAACGTCCTATTTATTATTAACCCTATAAAGTCTACTAATGTCCACCATTATGTCATGCTACATGTGTCTTTTTGCTGTGAAATATTTAATTAATTTCATAAAGTAAATGTAAGAATAACGTATTTCAAGATGAACAAAATACAATAAATCTCTCAATCATCATTATTTTACATTATATACTTATGTTAAAGTACATTGGAATAGTTAATGGTAGAGTCTGATTTATATTCTTGATATATTTGCTATTTTAAGAATATGGGCACTGCCCAAAATCTACTTACAGATTTGTGAATAAATCATTTTTTTTCTTATTTTACATTTTTTTATTTCTTATTTAATTCTTATTAAATAATTCTTATTTAAAAAAAAAAAAAATTCTAAAATTAATTTTATGCAAATCTCAACTGATGTAATTACATTTGCACCACTGGTCATAAATCTCTTTACATATTGTAAACCACTGAAAAAAAAATGTACATAGGCTGACCAATAATTCATGAATACTATATCTATACGTGTATGTAATTATTGCAGCAAGACATGTTGCAGGTGTAGCCAAGACAGTGAGCTAGGATGTCTAGTCTAACATCAAAATAAACAACAAGCAATATGAGTCAAAATGACTCCTGTTGCTATAACACTTGTAACAAACCTGTAGGCATCAGTACAAATGTGTCTTCTCCTAACAGTGTGGCATTAATAGCCTCCAGCTGATTGAAGCGAAACTGATGAAGCCCAAACTTCTTATGGAAGATCTTCATCATCTCTGGGCTGTGAGGAAAGCTGAAGCCTCTAAAGCGGTCATGAGCTGGGTTTCTGTACACGGGTTCTGCAGACCAAGATATACACCATTAACAGATAAACTGCTCATCATGCCATTTCACGGGGTCTTTAATAATAATGAACTAAATTATAAGGGATATAACATTACTCTTACTCTTACTTACCAGGGTTGGATGTCTTCGTAGGTTTTAGCACTGGGGATGTTACTGTCTTTCTCTCCAAAGGTTTTGAAGGCCCTCCCTCCCGCACCAATGGTGTTTTTGCACCAGAGCTGTCTCTTGATGCCAAGACACTTGGAGGTTCTTCAACATAATCTGGAATATCAGTCTCATTAAAATCATCAATATCAAAGTCATCGATTAGGAAGTCATCAACTGGCTCTATATCTGCTTGAGAACAGTTGGGTACTGCCGTGTTGGTTTCGACACAGCTCTCAGCATTTCTCTTGCCTGAATTTACTCTTTTTGGGGAATAAAACAAGTCAACCTGATCTCCACCTACAGTCTGAATGTTTGACTCATTGAAGGACAACCTTGAGTAGCACTTATCCGTTTTTGACTCAGATTTGCTTGAAGGTGGACTTGACCTGTTTGAGATGTCCCTACTAGTTGTTGTTTTTGCTGAGCTGTTAGGATTCCAGGAACCACCAGGGGTTTCAACTCCACTGATGATGCAGTCAGAGTCCTCAAAAACACTGTCATTTCCCAAAGACATGACAGAGGCAATGGACTTGCGAAACTGAAAGCCTGTTTTGACACCCTCTCCCCTTTCTGATGTCACTGGGGTCATAGATGATGTTAGACTAGAGGGTGTGACTCCAAAAGCTTGTCTTTTTAGCAGACTAGAATATGCAGTTGCTGCTGGGTCTAACTGAGATGTTCTAGATGGTGCACCATTAACAAGAATCCTTTTCCTGTGGTAAAGATAGAGAGTTATTAGTTATGCTGTAATAAGCAGCAATGTCATCCAACGCTAATATATTAATAGAAAACTATAAAATGAATATCACACTTGCATAACTGTAACATTTACTTCCTAATGAGTAAAAGGGTGAATTAGTCACCTGACATAAAAAAACAAAACAAGAAAACTTAATCTACGAATGTCACAATGAATGCAACATCTCAAGGGTCCCAAGAACAGCCTTTAATTTTAATAGAAGAATTTATGCAGAATACTTAATAGCATATTTTATGCAAAAAGTAATAGCAGACTATCTAAAATATGTAATTTTTTTAATTTACACAGCGAAAATACTCCTTTATTACTTCACCTGTGCGCTCTCTGCAGTAATAGCTCTGTGCCACAGGTCAGCGCTATGAGCTCATGCTCAGGAATAGTGTCCACTAGATGACAAATAGACTCCATAACAGTAAAGAGAGCATCATACGGTCCTAAAACACAAGTACATCATTTCATATAGAGCAAATGGTTGAATACCAAAAAGTTCAATCCTGCATGAGTGACACCTTTTAATTCTTTGGTAGGTTCATCCAAGGGTGCCGACAGGCTTGAGGCAGACTCATGAGGTGGAACATTTTTGTCAGCATGGGTAACAGGGTGAGATGAACTATAAAACAGTTTTAGAAAATAAACTTAAACTCAAACTTAAATGAAAAGAAACTGCACTTATTTTCATTTGTAGTTTGCAAAAAAAATCATTTTGCAATGAAAGCATGTTACCTTTTCTCCTTTTCTGAGTCAAAGGAACTCGTCTCCTCGGGAACAGGGGATGGGGGGATGAAATCCTGATAATCTTCATAAAAGTTGTCTGTCTCAGACTCATCAATGTCTATGATGTTTGTCTCAGCCCACTGTTCTTTTTCAGCAGCTGCAAATCAAATACGGTGTATTATTTTTGGGAGCACACCAACCTTTTCTTTAACAGGTGAAAAATTTACAAATTAGGGGTAAACCCACTGAAAAAATTGAGGTGCACTAACTTGTCACACAATTGATGTCCTTTTGGTTTTTCTCTGGTGAAGTACAGTCGATGATCTCCTCATCTTCAGTGTCACTCAGTAATGCCTTTTGCTGGACTGATTTCTTATGTCTTTTGGTCTTTTTAATGGGCGAGTCCTCAGGCTCTCTCTCAGCAGGCGCTGTGCTGAATCTATTAGCAGCTGACAGGACGTCCTTTGGGGCAGTTATGGCTTCTGTAACCTGTAAACCTCCATTTAATGTAGTCTCATCACTCTTAGCACAAGAGGCATTTGGGGTGGTGTTCTGGTCCGAAACACTAAGCTTTTTTGTATAGGTCCCTGTAACTGGGGACACTACTCTTGTCTTGACTGGGGTTTCAAAATCATCCAAGTCATCCCATTCATTGAAGGAGAGTTGAGAGATGTCATGCTTAGGTTCACCCACAGTTTGATCCTTAAGTAAGGCTGCAGATTTGAGTAAATCATTAATAGTAGATTGGACAGGAGGTGTTTTGTTCACAGCAAATGGGTTGGCTAATGGATTAACAGTATTTGTCTTCGGTCTGCTGGGTGCTGCGAAGAAGTTGACTTTCGGTGCTGCCCTCTCAGGCTTTTGCGAAAACGTCACAGGAGTTTTGGTTACTTCACAGCTGCGGGGAATATTGACACTCCTGTTTGCTAAGACATTTGCACCAGTTACCTTTAGAGGAACTTCCACTTTGGAGAAGCTGGATGAAGACTTCTTTTTGAAACAAAACCCCCTGAACAGAGAAATTTTACAGAGGTTAGACAAACTTGCTACACATTTGAGATGTTGATATGGATTCATTTTAATTGTATCCATCTATCTATCTATCTATCATGTTAAAGACCGTATTTGCAGGCTCTCTGGTTCCTGTTTGTATTTATTCGGTACCTAAACCTATCTATCTATACTCTGTACTTCAATCTATCTGTTCTGTATCTGACTGTTTTTGCTCTGTAGTTAAATCTATCTATCTATTATAGAATATAATGATGTTCTTACCCATGCTTTGGTTTCAGCAGTGACAACTTGTTCTGTGCAGCATTATTGTGTCGTTCCAGTTGCTCCTTTAGGTTGTTTTGAGGAAGACTCGGCATTGTGTGTGCATTTATATTAAATATGAATCATCCAAAGTTCATGTATATGGCATTTAATCAGCTCCACAAACAAATACACTCGCAAAAATAAATACAGGCATGCTCCGTTAGAATGCGATATTACAACCCTTGGTTTAGGACAGAAAACTCACAACGGAAAGTGTTGCTCTTTCTGCCATCGTGTGAACATTAAAACAACATAAAGAGAAAGTCACACAAAATGCCTTTACAATTTCCGCCACCAAACACAAAAGTTTGATATTCTGATATAACATACGAGCGCGCACAAAGTCACCATAACACCTCTGAAAGCTCGCGCTTACCGCGTATTCGTAGCTCGTACTCTGATTGGACAGCTGTCAGTGACGTCACTTCCTGTAAGCGGCTGCTTGTTTGTAACATATATTTTTTCTCATTTTCAGTTTTACACCATCAGTATCTTTTTTTCTATTTCTCCACTGTCTTTTTTTGCTCAGTGCATTTTCGTGTCTCAACGTAGACTAATAAGTACTTAAATAACTGCTTCCTCTCTGGCGCTCGCTGTTGTAGCTCAAACATTAGATGTGGATGTAGGTTGCCACATACTGGTTTGCTGTGGAATTGCACATCATTTACATATTCTATCTCAGCAAGGAAGTACAGTCCCACAGTATTTAAAGGGGTCATATGATGCGATTTCAATTGTTCCTTTCTCTTTGGAGTGTTACAAGCTCTTAGTGCATAAAGAAGATCTGTAAAGTTGCAAAGACTAAAGTCTCAAATCCAAAGAGATATTTTTTATAAAAGTTAAAAGAGTCAGCCACACCTACCTAAAACAGCTAGTTCTAACACGCCCCCACATATCTACATCACTATGTGGAAAGATTTGCATAACATCGCCCAAATGTTCACGCAAAGAAAGAAGGCGTAACTTTTATTCTCGCTGTAGTATTGTTGCTGCCGCCGCCGCCATGTCGTAAAGACGCTGTGTGCTTCGTTGTGAAAGCGAAACTACTTTGTTTGGTCTTCCAAAAGAGGACACGACTAGATTTCGATTTCTGGTTTTATGTTTACGCAGCGCGATGCAACGCGTAAAAAGACAGTATAAGTCATTATAATCCGTAATTATGTCCCCACTGGATGCAACAAATGCCTCGTTTATAATGGGTTTTAATGTTTTTGTCTCGTCGCTCCGCCCGGACAGGGCATCACAGTATGGTGAGGGGCGTAACATTTCCGTCACACGCTTGAGGTATTCGGCCAATCACAACGCACTGGATAGCTGGCCAATCACAGCACACCTCGCTTTTCAGACCGATGAGCTTTGAAAAAATCGAGAAACAATAATGTAAAGTATGTGGAAAATAATGTGTTTTTTGAACCTTAAACCGCATAAACACATTTCATTACACCAAATACACAACATAATGTTCTTTTTAGCAGCATCATATGACCCCTTTAATTAAAAAGCAGCATATACAATTATATATTTAATATAGAAGTAACTCCAGCAATATCTGCAGTGTTTTACTTTTTAAAGTCTTTAAGCTGTACTTAATGGATGAACACCATTACTCTGATGGAAAGTGATCCATAAAAAAAATATAAGACACACACACACACACACACACAAACAAATCCCTGAGAAAAGATTTATTTCAGTACAATAGTTTTGTACTTAAAATCTTAATTTTAACAAAGCAGACAACTTTAAAAACAAGATTAAGCATATTAACAGCAAATGGGGTGTCATTGAATGTTTTAAATGAATGTGAATAATTATTTATTACAAAGATAAATAAGTATTTAACTTATTTACTGACAGCTAGTATAGACTACAACTCATTTATGAAGATGTTGTCCATTGTGCATAAAATGATTTTGTGTGAGAGTAAAATGTAATAACTTGTCTCCCTTTTTATGGTGTAAGAAAATACATTTCAGTTATTTACACCAAAGGTAAAGGATAGGATGAACACGCAGCAAGTCCACACATATTCTTTCCCCTCTCAATGTAAAAATATCTGTATGGGAAATAAAATAATTAACATTAAACATCACATTTATTGCTATTAACTTGGTCAAATGGTCAAGTTTCAAATATAATCGCTACTGTATTTTTTAACCTTACAGTAGCACAACATTTGAGGAAATCATGCAAACAGACCCATTAATTCCCCAGTAGGTTCCCCAGGAGTTCTTCACTATCCAGTACGGAGTTCCATTCTGCTCAGCATAGCCCACAGCAAGCACTGCATGGTTCACCATGTCAGTAGTGTTATGACACACTGTGCTATAAAATCACAGAAATTGCCAAGAACTGTCACAAATAAATCCAATATAAAACCAGTAGCCTATAAAAGCAAATGTATATATATTTCATACTAACCTAGTATATATTCCATCTTTGTAGTGCATGAAATCAGATGTCACCTCATATGCAAGGCTGACAGGGTTCAACCTGGCCACAGCATCCACCATTCCCATTTCATCATACTAATAACAGGAATTTACAGTTAGAGAGAAGGCATGAAGTTAATATTAATATTTGTGCATGGACCATCACTTACCTTTGTAATGTTTACAACATCTTTCACAAAGGCAGCAGCCAAGTCTGGTTTGAATCTGCATTCACCTTCCTACAAACATGTGCAGTATGAACAAATGCCACCACTTTATGAATGAATCTTGAAAACAACAGCTGAAAATACAGTAAAATACTTACTTTAGCCTTATAGGGGTAGTCTAGCTCTGTCATAAGACCTTTGTTGTACATGATGTACTCAAAGGCATGACTTGGGAGGCCACTAAAAAGCATGTGCCGGGAGTAACATGTTGTTTAGACTATTTTACAGTGAAGACTTTACTCCTAAAACCATAAAATAAGCCAAGATGAGTTCATTCATCATTTTATCTAACTCACCCATTGCAGCCATGATTGTCGAAAGCACCTGCACAATCTACAAGCTGCTGCTCTGCCTGTAAAGAGTGCATGATAGGAACAGGAACAGGAAGAGGTAAGACAAAATAACCTGATGTTTCATAAATTACAGTTATGTTTTATTACTAATGTGCTGTTTTGGGGTTTGTTTGAACCTGCCAAAGGGCAGAAAAGGGGAATTATTGGTATATTCATTACAATGTTGATACTAAATTAAATAATAAGACATTATTCATATCTGATGGTGAATGTTCACAGCCATTGTTAAATTAAAAGCAACATATACATACTAGTTGTAGGAGTTTCCCTGTGGCAATAGCAGTGACAGACTCCAGACAGCCTGTGGTGGAAAAAGTCCAGCAGCTACCACAAGCTCCCTGGAATAGTGTCACCGATTAAGCATCAGCACTGTTTAATTAAAAAAAATAATTATCATAAGCACAATAGAGGATTATTAGAGCAAGATAAGCAAGCTACCTGGTTCTTGACATTAGTTACATAGTTTCCTTTCGTTCTCCAGTCAATCATATCAGGATATGGCCCATTACTGCTCAGATGATTCCCTCTAGTGGCGGAGCAGTTCTGTCAGGTTGTAAAATATTCATGAATTGCGGTACTTTCCTATTTCCTCACTGATCACGAGAGGCTGTTAAAAATAATACCTGAGGTTCTGTCAGGAGGTAGGACTTTTTAAATTCAGCAAAGGTCATGTCTGAAAACTGATTCAGTCCCACTGTAAAGTGCAGAGAAATGCTATGTGATTTTTTAAAACACCGTGTTTATATATATATAAACATCGTGCTCATAAAACAAAGATTTCAGTAAGTTAGATCATATTAGTCATAGCCTACTTGAAAACTTATGGTTTCCTGCATTATGGCGCTCAATCTTCTTCTTGTTGTCCAGGAATATCTGTAGTCGCTGGTAATATTCATTTATCTCATAATTTTTGTCATACTGGAAATTTCAAAAGAATAAACAAAGTTATACTTTTCTTCCTCTTCCTAATTTTTTACTTCGTTCATTCAGTGTCGCCTTAAATTTACTTTGTGTTAGGACATGAACTTACAAATAACTTCTTACCTGAGACATCCATGATTTGAAAAGATACTCATCTGTAACAAATACATATTTTAATTTTTAATGCACACAACCGTTCTCCAAAGTACCTTTATCACGTTTAAATTAATTCATCATTCGTATTTAAGTCCACAAAATGTAGGCTATTTTAAATGTTGTATTATATATAACTATGACTCTATACACTTTAAGTTTGAGTTGTCATAAATTTGTTATGCATTTGTACTGAAGCGCCAAATAGTCAAAAGCGAAAGTAGCCTACGATGCAGCGATACACGTACGTGGAAGAAGAAAAAAAAGCTTAACGTCAAAAGCTGGTTAAAAAATGTACCTTCCTCAGTGTGCAGTGGCAATGTATGCACCTGATACAGAACGGCAAACAGCACCGGTACAAACAGCATGTTCATCTTCAAGCCTGCGAGCAACTCATAACAGCAGCATAACAATATATAAGATCTCTTCACATGAGCTGCAGCACTCCTCCTACACGAGGGAGGGCTTTCATTGTCCTCTGCTCTTCGGGTTAAAGGTGCACTCGATGTTCTTTTGAAAACTGAAACGTTTTACACAAAGAAATGAGCAGCATTTTTTAGATAGCCTATATATAAAGCCGTTTTGTTTTACATGGAGCGGGTCGCCTCCCCAGTAAGGATGGGCATATCGATCCTAAGTATCGATATATCGATACTGACGCGAGTATCGAAAGTATCGAGTACTAAGGTGTTTTATTTACCAGTGATTTTGTTTATTTAAAATAATAATAATAATGCGTACAAATGCATTGAATTGGACGAATAACCTTTGTTCGCAAGTAATTGTGTAGGATAGAATTATTTTCCTGCTCATCTGAACACACAAATGTTGCAAGACAGAACCAATCAATCAAAGAGAGCGTTCACTCACTTCTAAAAGTGCATTCAAACAGGGCTGCGTTGCCCAAAAGTCTCATAAGAAAGCATTCAAGCTTTTGGGAACAGCAGCCCTGAACAATGCTTATCAGAGGACAGAAAAAAAAACATACGTTTGAGTTATTTCACAATAAACAAATTGAAATCGTAGCCTACACAGTGTGTACAATGACATTGATTTAAATTGAACGTTGAAAGATAATATAGATCATGTTCTATTC